CATTCGTTGAAAAGAATCAGACCTTCATTTGATTTCGATCTCACATAAAAATTCTTAGTCATCCGAAAACATTACTAGCGTAGACGAATTCAAAAAATGCTATGGTGCCAGCTATTTTTGTCTTCAGTAGGTGTTCTGCTTGGTTGTGACAACACTATGCGTAATTGACTTGAAATTAACGCCGCAGAAAGGTCATCGATCCGTCACAGGCTCGTCGCAGACAGAAGGTCTGGACTGCGGTCATAGAGATGAAGATATGATTGAACGAAGTGAAACATATGTGAAACTCATTGATGCACAACTTTCTACTATTGACTGTCTATACTAGCCTGGATCCGTCGACGGCTTTAGCATAGCGAGAGCTCGTAGCCGAGAAGAATATGTTCCCTGCTACAGCGATGATCAATCCCCGAGCGTAGACCAGCTGTGTGATTGTCGTACTCTTGGTGTTGAGAAGAGACTCATATTCTTCGCCCAACTGCCGCTCGGTATCCAATATGACACCACGCAGTATCGACTTGGCCGACGAAGAGGAAACATCCAACAAATCTTCTACGACCTTGACGGCGTTGAGTAGAGGTTCTCCATGCTCTTTTTCAGCGATGACTTCCTTAGCATACGAGTATAGATCGTTGGTCAATGCAAAATGTTTCGCGCAGAGAGGGCTCAGGCGCTCAAGAGCTTGTTCATCTTGGTCTGTGACTGAGATATCCGAGGCGAATCCTGCGCTGCGAAAGACGAGGCTGAAACAGTTAGTGGCGCAGCGTAGCAAATGATCACAGCAACCTACTAAGCTCCCACATCCTCTATCCGATGCTTCAGGTAGTCCATTAGTGTCGGGAAGGATTTCCTGGATTGTTTCGGCTGTGGCAAAGATCCCCACGATATCATAGCATCCAGAAATCTCCTGCCTTGCACTGTGTCCTCAGACATGACTTCCTGCGCTACCATATCAAATCCGGTATGAGACCGTCGCTCATTATTGTTATACGTATTCGGAATGGTTGCATCGAACTGCCATTGATAAGCACTCAAACATTTGGATAGGACTGACGAGATTCGAGATCATACGTTTCCCGACTCAACGGCGTCTGAACCATTATAAACAGTGGTCAGATACGTGCCAGTACATTGTCGACTTTACTTACCATCATGTATGAAGATGAGCGTATAAGCCCTCGCCAGAGCTCTCGTTCTCGATAAGCTTCCTGTTGGGGCAACGTTCACAGTGAATGAGGCAGCCGCATCGATCACGGCTTCGATGTACTTCTCAGAGACATTTCGTGAAGGTGTGACAAAGATCGCCCGTAGCAAATCTCTCGCAGCCTCTTCCGCTTCCGTCCAGTACTTGGACTGCAGCGAGGCGGGGAATGATGTAACCCATGGTATTTTCAGGCTTGACGGAACAATGCAATTTGCATGTCGCAGTTCAGGCGAGTCGGCGACAGCTTGAGGGTTGAGAAAGGAGAAGTATGGCCATGACGACGAAGCTGATTGGGTTTCAACGGGGTCGAACGCGTATAGAATCTTTCTGATGCAATTCCTAGCAGTTTTCGGCTTGTCGTCCGTCTTCGATACCGAAAAGTAGCGAGAGTTATGCGACGTGCACAAGGAGGACATGTATCGGTTTCTCCACCATATCGGTGTGCGTCTTACTTTCAAAGATGATATATAGGGACGCAAAGTGAAGTACATGTTGCCATGGGCTTGGAGGCCCGAGTTGAACGCGTCAGGGCGGACGCGCTATTGATTGTCCTGCTCAGGTACCGTCTTACAAAATCCAACGTACTCAACTTCAAGATGTCGGCGTCAAATTGTAATCACGGAGTGTCTTGTCAATCCATGGCACAGAAACAACCACCCCGTTCCCTTCTGCGTTCGATTCAGAATGCCATGACAGTGTGATACGCCACGGATGATGAGAAAGCCAGCCCACACCATTAGAGTGTGGGTCGGCTACCGCTCAATGCACCGAATTATACCAAGGCAAAAGGTCTACACATATAAAACTCATTGAAGAAAGGGCAAATAAGACGACCACAATATGAGTAATTAGTATGTGCAAGTGCTAGGGGTATTAGGATCTATATACTCTATATAAATACCTAGGAAAAAAGAATTAAGAATAGCTTTATTCTATCTATATCACTATTATGCTCAATTTCTTGGCATGTAATTTTGGTATTTATGTAACTATAAGGTAAATATTTATATGGAGCATTTATTTAAGATGATGCGTTGCGTTGAGTTGTAGCCGACCCAAACCAGGCGGTTTGGGTCTGGCCCTGGCGAAGAGTATCATGTATCTTAAGGTAACTTCCGGGTGACTCTATGAGGTTATGAGGAATCTATCATTCATTTCTATTCCGTCATACCTTTCTCGTCGAACCATCCACTCTCATCGATTTCGTCCGTGCCTACCATTCTCAGTATCGCGTATTATGGCTCATATCTACCAAACTCCTAGGAAAGTGCGCCTGGCCGCGGACAGAAACACCTCTGGGGGTGGAGTTTATCATCGTCGACTTATGTGTTTCTTCAAACGTAATAATGAATTTCATACGCAGCATTCTCGGAGCCTCTACGCCTCTCACGACAACGATGGGTAGGCCCGTTTAACTACCGGCTTTACTATCCATCGCTCCTAACTATATAAATGCCTAACTATATAAAACGGCATTCGTCTTTGCTATGAGAAAGGATGGCTCCACTCAGAGCCACCTACCTGGGATGATATGGACATTAGCTGCATATTTCCCACCCATCTCCATGCAAAGTATGCCCATGATGCCCCAATTTCACAATGTGAGGTCAAACTAACCAAACAGTGGAACCCTTTCTTACGGGCTCGCCCTGTCCATTTCCAAGTAAGGAATACATGCAGTTCTCCAGTTCTCGGAACTGCGACAAAGACGTCAACTGGATGGTCGGGAGACAACAGTGGAAGGATTGATTTCGGACCGGTATCCTATGGATGGGGATCCAAAATACTCAGAGAGGGAGACCGCTTGGCAGAACAGTGCCAACGATTTCCACCCGGCTGTCGTTATTACAAATTCATACAAGGTGGCCAGATCGGGGACTGGGCGATCCTTGATTGCACCAGCAGACCTCGGCCGTATGGTGGTAAGTGCATTCAGATACCTATTGTATTTCTATTGCTAAGATGCTAATCACCCTGCAGGCGTGTGTCACAGCAATCTGTGGCGAGTGATCTTCACTGTGACTTCCTTTCAGCAGAGGTCTTGGACTCTCTCATCATTTTGTATTTGAGAGATTCCCCTTGGCCTCACAGCTCCCATGTTAACCCCTCTGCCTACTAATTCAGGCTATGGCAATGAATGGAACACATGGTTACTGGCTAAGCAAATGGACAATGCATGAGAGCTGGTAACACAATCAGAGGCTTTACCTAGGCTAACTAGGCTGTCTTTTATTGCGCACCTATAATCGTAACCTTTATGTTAATGTAGTGGTTTACATTTGCCAGTTATTTTTAAGAGTTGCACATTTTCCTTTGTTTGATAAAACGCAATACCCTGGATGGACAGGTTTTCTAATTAGCATTCAAGATGCAGCGTGGGACATCTGGACTGGCACCAGATAGTAAGCTCGACATGCATGCTTCAGAAAACCCTCCCGGAACCCCACTCCACATCGGAATTCCGATTTCTGACCATCAAGCCGATAACTACTATCATGATCAACTAACAATGAGATCATCCCCATATAGCACAAATCCAAACAAAGGACAACAGAGAGCACCTCCACGGAAAAAGGCATGTCAGAATTGCACCAAATCCAAAGTACGATGTGGACTGGAAAAGCCTATCTGTTCGCGATGCAGATCGAAAGGTCGCAATTGCCAATATCCGCCAGGGCGCGTCACTACACCTGAGATTGAGGTCACCAGTACCGCTAGCGACGCACGAGAACATTATACACCACTTCTTGATATACAGGGACTTGCAGACACTGCTATAGCCCCAGAACCTGTGTCTTTGATCCCCGAATCCGGTCCAGCTGCGGCCTTCAGGTCTCCTCGTCCTCGAGCTGTAACCAGCGGACAGACGAGACCCCTCGATCTCGTTTTTACAGATATCGACCTGACACCTAGTGCAAACGCAGTAGATATCCGAGACAGATGGCTGAGACCGTATCTCCTCCCTCCTCTCGGACGAGATGAGATTCCTAAGGCCTACCACCCCTTTACGTTGCAATACATCACCATTATCCTCAAGACATATCCACGTTATATGCTGAAGGATGGCGGTTTCCCACCAATCATACATCATACACAAGTCAATACGAATCAGATGCCACAATCTCTGGCCAACTGTTACAGCCTTGTCCGAATGTGGGAGCAAGCGGCGCCAGGGAGCGAGACGATGGTGATGGGCACTGTGGAGGCGGAAATGGAAAGACTGGCAAGTGAGGTAAGCTTTCTTTGAGGTCTCTGTGGATGGAGAAACTGACTGTATAGACAATGAGTCAACATGACTACGACCTCCTGTGTTCCTTCCAAGCCTACCTTGTCTATACCATCTCGATGTACTTCAGCCCTCTCGGCAACGTATCCGCAGTTACCGATAAGACCATGATGACCTTAATGGAGCTTGCCTTTCGTACTGCTCAGAATGGCCTATCCTGCACGGCGGAGATTACTCATACGCGGCCAAACTGGGAGTCCTGGATCGTGGTCTCCGCCAAACGTCGTGCCATCTATACGATGTACCTGCTCAGCAGTGTTTACAATTCGGATAGGGGTCTACCAAACTTTGTGGCTGACGAAATGAAGGGGGTCTATGTCCCCGAAAGCAGGGTACTTTGGGAGGCCGCAGACCGAGGAGTATGGGAGAAGGAGTATGACCGGCACCTCCTGGAATGGGAAGATGGGATGCTGGAAATTTCGGAGTTATGGCGATCAGCCGAGACTGGGTCGACTGAACGACGGGAAAGGCTCGGAAAATGGGTTCGAGGGGTGGACGAGTTTGGTATGATGTTGTTTGCTATTTGCGCGCATACCCATGGTTGTTAAAGACCCTACGGAACTCCGAAAACAAATCATCGGAGTCGCGGAATCGACAGGGTCCTCTGGCGCCAGCATCGTACAGCTCGACATCAAAACCCGGCTCTCGCCCTCCCTCCTTGCCAAAGTAAACTCCTTCTCACACATCAATCAACATTCTCTGGAACATACCTACAGCCACAATGTCTAACAAAACTGTCTACATCACCGACCACTCCCCCTCCGTTCTCCAAACCCACAGCTGGCGCACCGCCGCCAACTCTGCCGCCTACCTCATCCCGTACATCAAACCGAGCATGAAAATCCTGGATATAGGTTGTGGCCCGGGCAGTATCAGCATCGACTTCGCGCGGCTCGTCCCCCAAGGCCACGTTACGGGGATCGAGTACGTCGCCGACCCGTTAGACGCAGCCCGATCCCTCGCCTCCACACAGGGAATCACAAACATCGACTTTCGCGTCGGCGACATCCACTCGCTTGACTTTCCGGACGACACCTTCGACATCGTCCATGTCCACCAGGTGCTACAGCACATCGCGGACCCAGTGCGCGCGCTACGGGAAATGCGCCGGGTTGCGAAGAGTGACGGCGGGATCGTCGCGGCGAGGGAGTCGGCATCGATGACGTGGTACCCTGACAACGCGGGAATCGCCGGATGTAAAGAGGTTACAGATCTTATGGCTAAAGCGAAGGGGGGTAATCCGCATCCTGGCCGGTATATCCATGTTTGGGCGGAGGAAGCCGGGTTTGAAAAGGCGAGAATCAAGAAAAGCGCTGGGGCATGGTGCTTTAGTAGTCCTGAGGAAAGGGAGTACTGGGGTGGATCAATGGAAGCCAGGATGAGATCGAGTGGGTTTTCAAAGAGGGCTGTGGAGGAGGGATACGCGACGAAGGAGGAGCTGGAGAAGATGGCAGATGGATGGAGGGACTTTGTCAAGAACGATGAGGCTTGGTTTGGGTTACTCCATGGGGAGATTCTATGCTGGAAATAAGCTAGCTCATTGGTTGACACGACCATGAAATAAGTGGTGTATGACATTCAAAACTTAGGATTCCTGATGTAACTGCACCGAGACACCCTCTGGGAATTGCACCTCCTTCAATTCCTCCAGCGTGACATTATCGGGTACAACGAATCTTCACCTCCAGTCAGCAATATCCTCAACGTCGAAAAGAAAGCCCTACGAAGTAGTATGTATAGGAGGGAGACTTCTCGTCGAAATGAAAAACGTGAATTTATCTGCCCCTTTTGCTGCGAACCCATCCTTCGTACTGTCACATATCAGTCGCCAATTCAGGCGTGATCGCTGAATATGCGTACATTCGTTCAATCTCGGCATTGTGTTTCTGCCATGTTTCGACGCTGTCGTATTGAATGACAAGGCTCTGCTTGGGTTACCTAGGAGCAATCGACATAATTGAGATTAACTCACGTATTTTGGCATTTTGAGCACCGTTAGATTCTAGGTGATATGTACCAGCAATGTCTGGATGGACCGATGGAGCGTTGGAAGTGATTGATGCCGCGGAGCATGTGCTATTGTGATGACATCACCGCCTCGCTTAAATTTGTGAGATGTTTTTAATAGGATTCTCCGTTCAAACTAGATGTAAATGAACACCTGACAATCAATTGCTTAAACGGCCTTGCTCGTATGCAGCAATACGGAAAACCATCGAAGACCACGAACAATGCATTACATCCCATCCTCAACATCTACCAATCATCCACAGGAGGCGAGTAAGCCCGCTCCTCACGATCCGAATACCTCTCCTCCTCCAACCTCTCCACCCGCTCCTTGAGCTCCTCCTCCTCTTCGTCCTCACCTATATCAAATCAGTCAGCAATATTCCCAACACAAAACTCACAGCAGAGCAAAACTCACGCTTCTCATGGTCCCACAGCGCCATACCGGCCGCACCGAGCGCCACACCCGCCACACCTCCCGCAATGATCTTCCCCATCCCGCCGGACTTCTTCTTCTGGTCCTGAGGCGGATACGCGCCCCCGGGAGGGGGGTAGTAGCCTCCGTCCTGCTGCGGCGGCGGGGGAGGAGAAGCATAGTAGCCTCTGTCCTGCTGCGGCGGCGGCGGAGAAGCATAGTGAGGCGGCGGGGGCCCGCCTAGTCCCCTGGCATGGTCGGAGTCTTGCATGGGGGTCTCCCACTGCGAGCGGCCTGTTGCAGTCTCGACGAAGAATGCGCGGCGAAGACTAGGTTCCCATTCTTGGACCCAGCCGAGGGGAAGAGGCGGTGGGGGGCCTGGGGGTGGGCGGGCGGAAGGCGGAGGTGCGGGCGAAGAGCTGTTGTAGGGTGGTCCCTCGTAGCGGGGGCGGGATGGATCGAAGGAGGAGGGGGAGCGTTCGGGGGGAGGACGGTCGTAGGGGGGCCGGTCGTAGGGAGGGCGATCGTAGGATGGTTGTTGTTGCTGTTGCCCGTAAGGTGGCCGGCCGTAGGATGGTGGTTGCTGTTGCTGTTGCCCGTAGGGAGGCTGGCCGTAGGAGGGTTGAGGCGGCCCGCCGTAGTAGTTATCTCTTTCTCCGTAGTAGGACATGGTCGCTCGCAATTTATGTGTAGCAGTATGTGGTAGTAGGTTCAGAAAGAAAGAAAGTAAAAAAGACGGGTTGAGCAGGCGTTGAGCCTTTTATGTGGTACTAAGGAGGGGAGGGGACACTTAGTCTATGCCTGGATACTCCAGACACCTACAGCCCCAAATAACATTTACCACTATTTAAGCTAAAACGATTTGTATACAGTCGGCGCGTACTGCCGTTCCGCATACATAAATCCGAAGCAGATTGTTGACACTAAGACGTGTATCCACTGGGCTATTAGTTTCGATGGGGAACAGTCGATAGTCTCACAATTAGGCAGATACATTCTGTCTGGCAGTGGAACATCAACAATATACCTCTGCCTAGTACGGAGTATATCAATCACTACCCCTGAGTCCCTAGCCGTTATAACAGCTAAAGTTAATCCGCAATCCACTTTCATTCCTCTACGCAGAGTCGCAGGCAGCGAGCAAGCACAATGTATGCTTTCTTCTAACCGCCAGCACTCAACCGCTCAGGCGGCATGCCTGCACCACACCCAACCATGCCATTCCCCTCCTGTTACGGATACCGAACTACCATATAACTCATCCACCTGCAATGCAAGCAACAAAACATTTATCAGTCCCTCTCTCTTGGCGCCACATCAAGGCTGGTGGTGTGTGGATCTCTCAAGTGACACCCACGATCCTCACCCAATCGGATACTCCTGGACCCTTACTAGCCACACCACAGCGGTGCGGTTCGGGTTCAGCCTTAACGAGCCACATAAGGGAGGGCCCTTGACGGACAAGGAATCAGGCAGAAGGAATTCATTACCTTGTCTTTCTAGCCTGATAGTAGACTAACAGATGAAAGAGTACTCCCTACTCTGTCTGCATCGTTATCCACTTCAGTGGATAACGATGCAAGAGAATGAGTGAGGTATTTTCAAGACAAGCCACGTGTGCCATAATGAGTGGCTGTGACTGTGGACTTGTGTGCTGCACTGCTGTCGAACTCCGTGTCCAGCCACAGGCCCCTCTTATTTTTTACCCATTTTAATGATACCCACTTTGGTCCTGGAGTTTCCGGAATTCCCGACCGAAGATACTCTTGTGTCTTCAGGGATGGATGTCGGGCCTATGAAGTTGATCTTTGAGATGGACGATATAGATTATAGGTCAACAGAGTGAGCTGGACAGGGACATTGATGGCGTCGATATTCTAGGCTTCGAACGTCGCAAAGTGGTCCAAGGTAGTATTTTGTTGGAGTTTACGATGAGCAGTGAGCGACAGATGAATGATTAAAAAAATGTAGAAGATATTCTGATTTAAGTAGATACATTAGAAACTCATGACCGTTGTCCAGCCAAATCTGCAGCGAGTTAACGCCTCAACTTGTACTAGCATTATCCACACTGAATCATATCAGGGTGGAATCACTCATCGCTCTAATGCTCATATAAAGACAATCAGTGATGGGGTGCAGAATCGCATCCGCACCAAGTGTCACTGCAAATCCGGTTAACTCGAACCAGCGCTCGCAATGTCGGCAGACTGGTCACTTCCAGGATAGAAAAACGCCGCAACACTGAAGTACAGTCAGTAAGAGGTCTTCCCCTTTTTCTTTTGTTTTTAGCAAAAAGCAATGACTTACCCGATGATGACATAGGCGGCAATAAGCAGCGCGCCCTCAAGGTAATTGCTTCGACCATCCAGAACCAAAAAGTTGACCACAAAAGCAGTCACAAACAAACAGATGGTTTCGAACAGGGTAAAGTACAGAGACATGTCCTTGTCCATGCACCAGCCTAGAATGACCACCAGCGGTGTGACGAAAATCGCTAGGACCTGTCAGAAAGCTGAAACCATGCAGGCATATATTGCTAACTCACCAATTTGAATACTGCTTCCCACTGACACGCCAATGGACAAATCCATCTTGTTCTTGGTGGCCACACTGACGGCGGTAACGTGTTCTGCAGCATTACCGACAATGGGCAGAATGATCAGACCAATAAACGCCTCGCTGACCGATGAGCTTTCAATCATTTCGGGGATGGCGTCCACTAGGAACTCGGCACATACTGCGACAAGCGCAGTTGAGACCAGTAACATGACCACGGCAGCCGTGCGTGATATCTCAGATTCGTTGTGCTCAGGAGGAGCGTTGTTAGCCGTGACATCAACCGTAGTTGGTATACGGGCAGCGCCTCTAGCAAACTGGACCGCGTTCCCGACTGGGGGAGGACGATTCATGTGAGAAGGAAGAGAGCGCGTGCGTCGAAGACCAGGATTTCCAGGAGCTGACTGTGCGAAGTTGGTGGAAGGGACAGTGTTTGAAAAGACCGTATTGGATAGTAAAGCCGGTATCGTGGGAAGGAATGGAGATTTTCTCTTCGGGAGCTCGGCAGCAACATCAGCCGGCTGAGGCGAGTTGACGCTATCAGTAGCAGGTGCAGACAGATGAGACGGCAGGGACGGTCGCTGAACCGATGCATCAGTGTTCAAGGCGTTCACATTGTCTCCCTTGTGGGCTTTGTGCTTTTTGCTTCGCTTCTTCGCTTTGCGATCCTTCTTGGATGCCTCCTGCTCGCCAATTGACCGCGGACCAAAGTCTATCGAGCGAGGCTCGTTGATTCGCTTATCATCATCTGCTTCGTAGTGACCATCGTCCGCAAAATCAATGGTGATTGAATGGTTGGAAGTAGGTCCCTCTGTAGAGTTGCTCTTCTCATTCAGTACCGGACGGGCTGTATCGCCAGAATGCTTCTTGCTAAGAGTGCCAGAGGCAGTATGATTGGAGCTCGTGCTGGACTTTCGACGTCTGCGATGTCTCATCGCTCGTTTGATACGCTTTGCGGTTGTCCATGATGTTGTGGTGTCATCGGAATCATCAGATGAGCTGCTGGATGAATCGGAAGAGCTGTTCATAAACTCCGCCAGGACGCCAGGATGAGACTCTTCGTCAATGATCTGTTGTGGGATGCTCGCGTAAAGATAGGAGTGGGATTTGAGTTGAAAAATGATGTAGAGAATGTAGATGAGGAGCAGCACCTGAATTCACAATATGAGAATCATAGACATATGCTGATCAGAGCAATGCTTACCACACTGGTTCCACGGCTAACTTTCAGAGTGTTTCTGTCGGCTGATGCACTGTTCGACCAAGATGCATGGAATGCAGTCTAGTCAGATAATAATCAGCATGTTTATGTGGAGTAAATTTCAGCGAAATACTAACAGGTAGGAGAAGACTGGTGACACTCAAACTCAGAAGGCATGCGCTCATCTGAGTGACTGTGCTGTTATAAATCTAGAGACAATCAGCACGGGCCTGATATTGCGCGCAAGAGTATCCTACCTGTTCCTGGAAGCGAAGACCTCCCAAAAGGAAAGACATTCCCAGGATCAAGAGTAGATTAGCTAGGATGGAGCCAAGCAGAGAGGCCTGGACGATCCTTATCTCGTTCTGCAATTGGTTGTTAGCTAGATCATCAAGTAGGCTTGAGAGGGGATGTACCTTGACGAGTGCAATGCTGGTCGGGTAAATCAAGTTATTTACGGTTGAGAGGCAGAAAAGGAGTCAATGGAAACTTACATGCTAATAAATGTTAGTTAGAACCCGCGAAAAAGGTAAGTGTATCGCAACTTACAAGATAATCAATTCCACGGCATTTCCAAATGTAACGTTAATGAGTGCTCCAACCGTATCTCCCAGACGGCTGGCAACACACTCAGTTGCGTGGCTCAGTATACCGGCCAAAGGGATGATGGCAACCGCGTTCATCGCAAAAATCACCGCCGGATTTACCCCTACCGCTTCGACCGCGATACCGGCGGGCACGAAGACCAGCAGGACATTGACCCAGCTATGGCATAGAACTTCCTTGGTATGTCTTCCAAAACGGATGACGCCATGTTTCATGCGGACGAGGGGTCCTGGTTTGGTTGTGGTCTGTTCATCTTGGGGGTTGGATTCTGGACCTTCCAGGTCCCCAGACTGCTCCTTCACCCGCCCATTATGTCGAGGTTCTGCGGTCTCCGAGTCTTGGGCCTCGTTGGTCGGCGCTTTGGAAGGATCTTGGGGAGCTGAGCTGCGGTGGGACGCGTGAGCTTTCGCCCACGATTGAATCCGGTCTGTATGCAAGGAGAGAACGTGTCAGTCTGAACTTGACAGGAATTGTGCCTTTGCCAACTATGTTACACAGTTCTGACAGCGCATCTTGAGCAAGGAAAAAGAGCTATGCAAATGCAAAGAAATGATATTATTCTGGAGGAACAACCGTAGAGAAAGGGAATGGCCAGGAGCAACTTACGCATGTATTTCAGAAGAAGAATTGTGGTTTAATCAATATGGAAGGCAACAAGCCTATGATAAAAAGCGCTTTTAATTAACAAAAGGAGCAAATCAAGCTTCCAGAAGAGAAGCTGGGCTTTCAGCGAGTGACCAAAGTCTCAGTGAGGAAAAGGAGAAACAGAGCATTATATGAGTAGCTTGGCATTTGGCGAGCGCCGATGATGCTTGCCAAGCTCGAGGTGATCATCATTTGTCGTGGAATGAAGTGGGCTCCGCAACAGCCTATGACAAGGCACAAAAGCCACAATAGAAGCCAGCTAGCCTATGACTCCGCCTCATCTGTGTTATCAATCACGCTTCACTTTTCTACGTCTCTATAAGCGGATGGTGGCTGTAGGTAACACGTTGAACGTCATCTGAAGTCATCCTTAGCTGCTGTCCTACTCGTGTAGCCTGCTCTGTAATTCTCTTGTGTTCTAAAATCAACCATCGCAGCTTAGGTAGATTTCCCTTTCGCCACTCTTGACCTCTCGAGGATCCCATTTTTGAGATAATACATCCAATTTAATCGACCACGGCTGATCTCCGAATCATGGCTCCAAACTCTCAGAAATGCGCTGAGGATGTTTGAGTGGATAGCCAAGATCCTCACAAGGCTGGCGTCCAATGATTTCCGTTGTTTCTCAGGCTAAGAAATAGACTTCTGCTTGTGATTGGCTGAGGCAAGTCAAGGGGTGAGTTTCTCCGTCTTGGTGGTTGATATTATATTCCGTGTTTGTGTGGGCAAGTTACACCCTTGCTCAACAATATACGTCATCCAAAGTTGAGCATACGTAATTCATACTGATGCGTAAAAAGTTGCTATTAATGGAGTGATAGGAGAGGTACATAAGAAAATATTATAAGATGCTAAAAATTGTAGTTGAACGCTCAGTATTCTGACGATTGATCAGTTGGGCATTTCCCGTCATCAACACAATCTGGAACGGGGCCAGTCCAGCGGCCACTAGCCAAGAAGATAGTACCAGTGGTTACGGAGTAGGCAAGGATCCTCGAAAACTGCGCCCCATGTGGCTGAAGCCTGAAATAGAACAATTTGACATTGCCACATCAAGCATGCCTGAGGCATAAATATGACTCATCCAGTATTCCAGTATTGGTCCAACTGGGAAGAGCCTTAGTCCTTTCAGCGAAGGTAGTCTAAATAGACCGTCATGTCGACCACTTTCCTCAGCTGAAGGGCACTTGCCGATACCAATATCGACAATTTCGCATAAGTGCCAGGTGCTTGTGGCAATGAATAGATAACTGTAGAGCATGAGTGCTCACAGGCATAAATAAACATATTATCTGCTTTGGAGACAGAGCACACGGATCAAAATCATAAATAATAATCTTGTCTCAAGCAGCAACTGGAGTTGCCGGAGTATATATGTATAGGAGTGAGGTATGTTGATGTTACTGAGGCTTGGTTTCTAGAGAAGACATAGCAAGAGGATTAATTGGAATACCTTCTACAAGCCGATCATCGCCAGTTTCTCGAGATTAAAGCTGACAAGTAGCTAAGATATTTAAATGAAAGAGGTTAAGAAATGATAAAGCAACGAACTTCCCAGAGACTGTTCTCAACCTCACAGTGCAAGTTGAATGTCGTAGTATGCTTAATTGTTGACATGGCGGCCTTATCTTGAGCTGGACTTTGGGACTTTCCTCATGATGCTGAAAGGTGCATTGCCATCAAGTATCACGATTGCCACGTATGCCCTGAGGCTAGTGAAATTCTCCTACTAAGCATGCACGACGCGCCAGAGTAGTTGTATCGCAGACATTACACACCTGTTGGGTGTTGGCTACCCCACAGCCTTAATGTCCGTCATAGCTCAAGCGTTGATGCTTTGTGCCAGATTCATGAAGATAATGCTTTTCATTCTCATAGTAATATGCTTGGCTGCATCTCTCTGCTGTCTTGCAGTTTTCCCCACAGTAAAAGCGAGAGAATATAGTACACCCCCAGATGGTAGCGAAAGTAGCAAGACTGGGTATAATAACGACGCATGTGCTGTGTCGGCTATCTGGTTATCGAGAAGACCAACTCCAAAACTCCAATAACCATCATAACTCCAAACCAAATGCATCGTGCACTGTTCATATACTTCTTGACCTGTCAGTACCCCACCCATATTCGTGATACTTGATACTTCGTAGGCTACTCACAACATCTAGCCGGTCGTACACCCCTCACTCATAGTGATCGTTGTGAACAGCCGTCAACTTCCTCAACCTCGGATAGTAGAATGCAAAGAACACGATGACGGCTAAGAGCATCACCAGCGTCGGCAGGAACATGAACGTGAAGAGCAACAGACTCAACCCAAACGCCACATTCTGACCGGGGAATATCCTGCGAACCATGAGGTCAAGGGACGTCGGGAGGAGCTGGTGAACATTGACGGTGTCGGTGATGCAATTGAGCATGACGAGTATTTGGCTTAGGTAGATAGATAGGAACGCAGGAAAGTGCTGTCGCTCTCGGATGCCCTAAAGCTCAATTGCTTGAGAGCAGCCACGTTGGAAGATGGGGGATTTTATGCTTCGGCTGTGGCTGTTGCCACAGATGGACCTTGTTTATTCATTTGACATGGGAAAAATAAGAAACTGCCTATCCATATCTCAATTGGATAAAATGGATGCCTTGCCTCACCCTGGCCCTTGCTGCTATAGATCATCACTGGACGTTGACGGCGATGATTGGCTGTTCGAGTTCACTGACCTTGCCAAGACAGTGAGGTGGTTTACCACTCTAATACGGATTATTTTACGCAATGACGTAAAAAGCGAGGAATTCGGCCCGGCTTCGGGTATTTTATGGTATGGAGATTACCACACCTTCAATCCATTAGGCGCAGGCAGCAGCATTTCTTGGGCCAAGTTATGGGTCTATACAATTTTATCATGCTACTGTGGAGTTTTACATAGATAGACACCATGCAACAACTTACATAAGAAACCGTGCAGAGTCGGAAGCTGAAAAGTCTGGGCATGGAGGAGCGAGAAGGTATGCCAGAGAAAAACTATATCACTGCTGCAGAGGACGGAGTAGCTGGCAAGTTAGAACACTCAACCTCTTGCTGTTGCCATGGCAATAACCAATAGCATAGTGTAAGTGTCTGTGAATACTGAAACATCAAGCAAGGCCCTCGGTTAAGGCTGATGTTGATCATACAGGACCCGAACCCATCTAACAGTAGGGGTGGGAATCGTAGTAACTGGAGGGATAATGTTCATATTCCACACCAGCTGGCGGCTGTGGAAGAAGCTTCCTTCAATAGTCTATGAGATGTAAGTTGAGGATTCCAGCTGTCTAGCGTACCTACTGATCGAATAGGACCATGTGGTTCATGTCCTAGCATTTTACATCCTGCAGAACTATGTGCCGCTCATCTCGAAGTTGGGCGTGCTAACGGCCAAGTCACGAGCGGTTATGCTTGTTGTTAATGATGTGCATGACTCTATCGGGTATGAGCAATGATATCTTGGATTGGATTTAATTGATCGAATACTTCACTTCGACCGTTGACTTATGCGCGTCAGTTAAGTTTGACATGCAAAGCTTAGGTATGCGCCCTGTAGGGCTGGCGCTTGGCACAGATCCTCGGTTCGCTCGAGAATGGTGATGCCTAAAACTGAGATCCACTAGGACCACAATGATGAGTGGCCATTGACAAATCACTATTCAAAGCATGCATCAGGGTTGAGGGACTATACTTACCAGTTAGGTCTCTGTATTTATGAGTTATAGCTAATTGAGTCGCTCGGATCATCATGGCAGAGTGCAGACTCATGGGACAATCTGACCAGAATCAATGCATGTGTTTCTGCTAGTTGTGTCTAAACAGGAATATCTTCATTTTAATGAATGCAGCATGGTGAAGGTCCCTGAAATTCTAATTGACTAATGCACCTCGAAGCACTTCCTTCCCCTCTCCACAGTCCACACACCGCTTCTTCCCCTATTCCTCAAAACATGGCTCTTCTCTTCTTCCACAATCATCGATTTGACCACGCGGAGTTCGACAATCTTGGTGTTGACTGGGTGATCCACTATCAGTTCGAAGAAGTCGGTTCGTACTTGAAAACGTCCTCGGACTTACCATCTTTATCCTTTGTAAATGCACTGACGCACTGGGACTAACCTGCAGACACATCTCGAGCAATCAAGGAGTTCCGAAATTTAATCCATGATCTCAAAGCAGCACGACTTGAAATCCAAGTCCGACATGGTCATGGAGCTTCGGTGTTGGTCTGTGTCCAGGTCCCCCGCGACCACTTGGGACGGATGATTTACGAGTCGAGGTACCTCACCGTCTATACGCTACTGTCTTCACCGACTAACTTCACCAGAGTAAAAGACTGGCTGTATGGAGTCGTCCATGAGCTTCCTGTTGCGAGCGACTACGCCGATGCCGAAACCCCCGCTGAAGAACTCCGATCGGTCTATCACGCTGTAACGTGGCAGAGACACCTGGGTGGTGCTGGCATCACCCCGAGGATAGGAAAATGGAAGAACATTGCGTCTGCGTTTCCACTTCATGATCGGGCTGCTAATGCCGAGCTGCTGCGTAAGATGAGTCGATCGGTGGCGATGACCGATGAGGATTTGGATGCGATCCGTGCCTTGTTTGGCGAGAAGGTTAGTGGTCACAACAACGACGATAGACAAAGCTGACGTTGGCAGACGGCGTTTTATTTTGCGTTTATTCAGTCTTATTCATTGTTTCTGGTGGTCCCAGCCGTATGGGGAGTCATCTGCTGGTCATATTTCGGCCCGTACTCTATCAACTGCGCAGTGGTTAACTGTCTTTGGTGCATCGTTTTCGTCGAGTACTGGAAGATCCGCGAGACAGACTTGAGCCTGCATTGGAATGTCAAAGGGGTTGGAGCGCTAAAGGTCAACCGGCCGCAGTATGTCTGGGACAGGGAGGTGCAGGACCCTATCACAGGAGAAACCGTCCGCGTGTTCTCCATGCGAAAGCAGCTTCTGCGCCAACTCCTGCTCATCCCCTTTGCTACGGTTGCCACTGTAGCGCTCGGCACATTGATTGTTGTCACATTTGCGCTGGAGGTTTTCATCTCGGAGGTTTACGTGGGCCCACTCAAAGGGTATCTGGAGTTTGGTCCGACCGTGCTGTTTTCTCTCTCGCTGCCTACAATCACCTCGAAGCTGACGGACATTGCCACTAAACTGACGGAGTATGAGAATTACCGCACCAAAGACCAGTATGATCTCGCGCAGACGACAAAGACTTTCGTGATGAACTTTATTACTGCTTTCCTACCGACTATCTTGACTGCGTTCGTCTATGTCCCCTTTGGTGCGAAGATCATCCCTTACCTGGACATCTTTCACGTCAGGGGCATTCACTCGGCCATATCACCCGATTTCCAGGCGGACACCTCCCGCTTCCAGCAGGAAGTAATCTACCTGTCCGTGACAGGCCAAGTCCTAAGCTTTGGCGAGGAGGTCGTCCTCCCGTACGTAAAAAGKGTCCTCTGGAGAAAGTGGCGCGACTACCGCCTCCAGAAAACGCAAGCCGGCCGCCCACGCCGCTACTCCAAAATGACCGATCTTCTTCTAATCGATTCACCCTCAGAGGCAGCATTCCTCACTCAGGTCCGCAACGAAGCCGAAGCGGACGAGTACAACGTCCACGAAGACACGCTCGAGATGTGCGTGCAGTACGGGTATCTCGCCCTCTTCGGCGTCGCCTGGCCGCTTGTCCCTCTGCTCTTCCTGATCAACAACTGGCTGGAGCTGCGCGGCGATTTCTTCAAGCTCACCCTCGAATGCCAGCGCCCGCCACCCATCCGCACGGACTCGATCGGCCCGTCCCTCCAGGGCTTGGAGTTCCTGACATGGCTCGGCACCCTCTCGACAGCAAGTATCGTCTATCTCTACCGCGACGGGATGAAGGAGGTCCACATGTCCTCGCTGCTGCTGGTCCTGTTCATAGCTCAACAGGTCTACCTTGCGGTTCGCTTTGCCGTGCGCACAGGACTCCAGAAGCTGGGCTCAGGCACCCTCCGTCGCGAAGCTGCCAAGCGCTACGCCGTGCGCAAGAGCTACCTGGAGACGTTTAGTGCCAAGAAGGGACATGGGAACGGGAAGCCGCGGGTGCGGTTCAATGACCATGTGGATGTGTATAGCTCCTCGACAGACTCGTCCCCGACGGATCCTGTGAAAACCAAGTCGGCAACGCTTCACAAGGAGGTAGCGCATGGGAGTGAACTGGAGGCTGAATTTTGGGGGGAGCAGCGCTGGACGGCGGAGGAGATGGGCGTGAAGTTGATCAAGGCGTTGAGTGGAGAGGAAAAGAAGAAAGAGTAGCCACATAGTATCCCTAGATCATCTTACCCAGAGAAGCTCCCCACTTAAACGAATAGCACCGTGTGGATCTGGCCGGAAATATTCCCTCAGTGCATGGGAAAGTAGTCCACGCTGTACAGAACTTCGGCCCTATGGGGCGATGCTAGGAGCTTAATCTAGCAGACCCATAGAGCCCGTCTTACATGATTCCCTCTTAGACTCTTGATCATTTCGCTTGATTCCTCCATTCTCAGTCTAACAATGCCGTCAACAGCCATGGCATCAACGTCGATATCAACACCACCACGACCAAATTCGTCGATGTGATCCATTCGGCAGAACGAAACATTCGACTGCTTACGCGAGGGCAGCTGAGAAGAGGAGGATCATTGTCTGTTGATGCCCGATGCGTTTACTGAAATGTGGCACGCCGAGATCTCAAGCAGGGCCTCAGCTGGATGACTGGGGCAACTTTTCACGAGGCGGCGGGACGGGGATACTCGTGCATTGCGAGCGATATCTGCCGAGTTATTCTCTAAACCTGTCCTCCACCAAAGAACTGGCGGCCAATCCATACATATAGACAATGCTAAAAACTAAATAAGCCGCTCCGTCGCTTACCATACGGATACACCACCAACGCAGCGATAAACAGTCCAACCGTAATTCCAATCGCCACCTGGACCATCCCGACCGCCAGCGTCCATACCGACGAATTGGTGGACAGTCCCGCCCCCGGCTGCGATGTCCCGCTGGGGCTGCTAATATTGTGACGGATCTGATCGGCAGACGCCACGCCGGTAATCAGCGACCCGGACGCTGCCAGGCCCGAGGGGACCAGCACGAAGATAGCGGGGAGGATGGCCGTGGCGGCGTGTCCGTGCCATAGGCGACTGTACAGATTGCCCATGATGCCGATGGTGAAGGCGCCGACGGTGTTGGCGACCTGCGAGTTGGACCCCAGCTTCTTCGTGCTAAAGTAGTTGGTGATGTACCCGGACATGGCGATGGTCGTCATCACGGGTAACTGTTTCCACTTGCCCTGGTTGATGATGAGCAGCCACACGGTCATGAGGGCCACGAAGGGGAACCGCTGCACGTATGGGTTTTTGAAGGCCCCGGCTTTGGGACACTGGATGTCGGATACGGCGGACCCATCCATCAGTCCGTAGATGGTCGTCCCTACCGTGATGCCGTATCCAAGGAACAGGGAGTAGATGATCGCGTAGACTATTCGGATCGATCCCGCGATAATCTGGTGAGACTGCAGCTCGAGACTGCTGCATAGCACCAGGAAGCCGGGCAGGATAAGCGCAATGGAGGATTGGGCAATGGCAGAGAAACAGAAGAGAAACTGGCGTTTGCCGTCGATGACGGCCTTTGGAATGCTCCCAAAGGCGCGGGCCAGAAACGAGGTTAGCACCGCGGCCGTCACCTCAAAGACGTTCGAATAGAGTGCTGAGCGTGGTGCGAGGACTTGTTGCATGAGTCCGAGCAGACAGCCGTTGATGAAAATGATGGGCATGTCGATCGGCCGAGCATTGAACGCAAACGGTCCTACAGTCGCAGACGCCAACCCGTACACCAACACGACAACCCACTTGTTGAATCGTGGTGGCTTCTTTTCGATCTCCTCCAGTTCCTGGATGGCCTCTTCCACCCCGATCACGTCATGTACTACATTCTTGTAGATTCGATGAGTGTTGGCCAACTTTTGCAGGTTGATTCCCTGAGCCACCCGAACCAGCTTCACCTCGGTCGTCCTCGTCGACGGATCGTCAAATGACATGATCATGCACCCGGGAAAATACAGAAATTGACTGTCCACCTCGAGAACCTTAGCCGTCATCTGCATGTACTCTTCGAGCCGATGTGTCGGGGCGCCAAACGACATCAGCGCTTTGCACAGCTGCATAATGTACCGCTGGCGCGCAATGATCTCCGCGATTTGCACCGTCACCTGGATTTCGTCCTCCAGCCGCATGCCTCCTCCCCGTTGGGGCTGTTGTCCACCAAGGCGCTTTGACGCGGCGGAAAGCACCTCGCTAGACACAGGAGTGCTCGCGCCACTCATGCTGCCCGAAGCGCCAACCAGGGTCGACGTGGAGCGAGTATGCTGTTTATTCTTGTACCACTTTAACTTTTCTTTCTTTGGAGTTGTGGTCCCTGAGGTCCCGGTGTCCGAGGGCGATCGTTGTCCGGCTTGCCCGGCTTGCCCACCTTGCCCGCCTCCTTGTTGCATGCCACCATTCAGCTTCATCAGCTGCGCCAGGACACCCCCACCACCGGCTCGATACCGCAGCCCCGACTCGAGTGCATTGTCCCCCTGACCGCCCCGGCCGCCCTGCGTATCGGTGTGTGGGTATGGATTCCCACGCGTACTGCGCCGATTGCCGGACTGGTCCTGCGTCAGCTCACGGACCAGGCGGTGCGCTTCAGACGTGGATGTGGCTTGATGTGTCTTCTTTTCCTCGTGAGTCTTGTGCTTGTTGTCAGTCAAATCTCCCAGAGGCGCGTTGCCGCCTGATGCCCATTCGTTGTGGTAGACACCAGGTCCTAGGTCATCCCCACCTCGTTCAGGGCGCCCCAGCCGATCACTCCACCGGGACAACTTGCCGTGCACCGTGTCTCGCAGCCATCGCAGTTTGTCCTTGGCTGTGCGACTGACATCGCCGAGGGCTGCTGCTGCGCCAATGCCTGCCGGTTTCTTCTCCACAGGGGTCTTTTCCGCTTGCTGAAGGTCTTCTCCCGTTGTCCGCTCCTGAAGAGGGGTTTCTGTGATGTCTAGCGAACCATGGATGTAGGGCGTGGACATGAGATGTGGCTGGCCTTGGCGTTGCGCTTGGTCACGCTGACCTTTTTGCTTTTCCTGAATCGAGCCTTCATCTTCGCTGCTTTCGGGACCAGCAGGCTCTGGGTAGTCGACACTGAGAGCGGACCGGAAGCGAACCCGCTGTCTCCTCTGTGATGCTTCTCCGTTTTCTCCGTCTGTCGGGGTAGTCTCTATAGTGGGAACTTCTTGGTTGTCTTCATCCTGGCTCGGCTGTTCAGGCGACCGTGGACTCCCTGGCGGAGCCGGCGGTGATCCTGGGCTTTCAGGACTGCCGGAATCTTTGGCATTTTCTGATTCGGGTTGACTTTGATAGGTTTCGGCGGAACTCTCACTCTCTTGTCTGGAGTCGGACATATGGCTATCTCAGGATGACAAGCCGCGATCGGTTACGTCTAGCTCTTGTTAGAAGCGTCGCAGAGACTTGGCTATGTACGTACACTGGAAGGAAGTAGGAACACTTAGAAGGATATACGTACAATGCAGCTTGATCTTGTATCCTACTCAGAGTAGCAGAGGCAAGCAGGGAAGATGCCACAAAGCCAGCGCAAGGAAGAAAGATGGCATGGTTCGCCATGGATGTGGCTAGTCGCCTGTGACTTCACCTATGCATAGCGTTGGCCACATGAGCTTCGTCTGCTCGACGTCATGAACCAACGGGTCTCATCACCTGTCAGAGAATAAAGTGACAGTCGCTATGATGTTCCCCAGGAGTAGACCTTCCCGAGCAACGGGTAAGAACCATCATGGCTTTTGTTAGAGTGATTGTCTTTTGACATGTTGTCGGCCTAGGCGGTTGCATTGAATAATGGCCTGAAGAGCAATAGGATTCTTGACTTCGGTAGTTTGTTGACGTTGTTACGTCGATGAGGCCCAGCAACGGAGGGAACTCCCGAGCCCGCGAACGAACCATGGTCGACACCAGACTTCCGTCCGTCGAGATTTAGATACACATTTCATCTTATTCCACATGAAACTAATCGTATTTCCATGAGAAACTTCACGTGCGCGTATATCAATTGTACTGTATTGGATTGCGGCAAGCCACTTTAATGTTGAAAATTCATGTTGCGGTGCTAGCTAGATTGCAATCCACAGTACACTAATGACAAGACTCGTTTGTCCCGCGATCTAGTCAGGGACAAAGCATCCTTTCACCAACTCAACATATAGAGGAATGAATTCACACATCTCTTCAGAACAGGCCTGCAAGCTGAAGAATCAGCATCGAATCAGGCAATCTGACCATGTCCGTGAGCTTTCCCAATTGGGACACGAAATCAGCCCCTGACAATATACGCTAGTCCGGAAGGGAAATGTATTTACAGTATTTATCACTCAAGTCCTCAGGAACTAGAGCTCTACACGGTATTACGCTGTAAGCCCCTGATCCCATTTAGGATTCAGGTCCAATTTCCTCATCATTCATCAAGCCTGGCAATTTTTCAAAGGATCCACTGATCCTATGATCAGTAATCAACCTAATAGGGGTTCTCCTCTGCCGTCTGCTAGCCAGAATGACCGCTGTCGACAGACACCACTTCCCTCATTGGGACGCATCTCATTTGTAAGCGTTTACGGCAGCGTTTCAAATCGGGGCCAATTCGGCGCCGTCTCACTATATCGTCCTAGTACTGACGCTGACCTTTCTCTCTTAGGAAATTCCTATCGGTGTTGTCTTACATGTGGTGTAACCTGGTCATTTAAGCCCGGTCTTTCTGCACGATGATTGTTCAGCCTCGGGGTAGCTGAATCCCATTGCTTTATACAAATCAGCACCCTTTTGATCGTGGTGCTGGGAGACAATGGAGCTAGAGATCGGGGTTATATATTAGCGATGTGTCGTGTCCTTGAATCGATGGTAAGGCCCTCACTTCCCCAATTCATTTGTTTCTGCTTACAGTCATCATCGTCTTGCTAGCATGCGTGGTCTCCTCTCCTTGACCGCGCTGGCCAGCACACTGGCTATGGCCTCATCTGCAGCTGTCGGGGCTCGTGCTCCTTCCTGCCCCGGTCCTGTCAAGAGCTCTCCAACTACATACTGGCTCGCTCAACAGGACCACACCGGAAATCCGCGCGGATATGCCCCTAATGCGGGAGGGAACTACAACTATCCCGTCTGGCGTAATGTCCTGGACTACTCTGCGAAAAATGACGGCTCCGGCGACCAGACTGCCAGCTTGCAAAAAGCCATCAACGACAATGGCAGCGGTGGAAGCCGTGAAAGCTCCGGCGTCACTAGGTACCCGGCTCAGGTCTATCTTCCGAGTGGTACCTACCAGCTGGGGAGCACACTCAACCTCCGAGTTGGCACGCTCATTGTCGGAGACCCAATTAACCCGCCTGTGATCAAGGCGGCGGCCGGGTTCAACGGCAATACGCTCGTGAATGGATACGACTCCAAGAACGGTCCCCCGGAGACCAGCTTCATGACGCTCATGAAGAACGTGGTGTTGGACACCACTGCTCTGCGACCTGATACTCAGATTACGGCTCTGCAGTGGGGTGTGGCGCAGGGTTCGGGTCTGACCAACGTCAAGATCAACATGCCGAATTATTCCACCGGTCATACTGGTATTCACGTCCAGGGGGGGTCTACTATCGCCATAACCGATGTGGTGGGTTCCTGTCTTCTGTGCTGTGGTGATCGTGCAGCTAACGATTATAGCAAATCAATGGAGGTGTCGTTGGTATCGACAATTCCAACCAGCAGGTCAACTTCAAGAACATCCATTTCAACGGCTGCACAACCGCGTTCAAAGCGTCCGGTGGCCACACTGCTCTGCTTCAAGGCGCTACATTTGAGAATTGCGGAGTAGGCATTGACATGACTAGCAACGGACTGGGGAGCTTGGTGCTGCTGGACTCCGCCTCTGTCAACTCGGGGACTACGATCAAGTTCCACGACTCGTCCAATGACGGCGGCAACCGCAACAGCCAGATCTTGATCGAGAATTTGTCCCATGACAACGGAAACCCCATTGCCCAAGACAGCAACGGCAACGTCAAACTGGCCAGCACATCTCATGTCGACACCTGGGTCTGGGGGAACGTCACTCCAGGCCAATACGAAACGGGAACCAGCTTCAGCACCAGCCGTCCCGGCGTACTGCTGTCCGGAGGGAAGTTCTTTACGAAAGCCCAGCCGACCTATGCCGAGTACGCCAGCGACCAGATCGTCAACGTCAAGGCCGTCGCAGGCCACGCCGTCAAAGGCGACGGATACACCGACGACTCTGCTTCCCTCAACGCCATTCTGGCCGATAACGCGGCCAACTGTAAGATCAGCTACTTCCCATACGGTGTGTACATAGTCAAGGACACGCTGGTCATTCCGCCGGGCTCTCGGATCGTCGGAGAGGCTTGGTCGGTGATTTCCGGCGCGGGCAACGCCTTCAAGGATGCCCGCAATCCCAAGGCTGTGGTCCGGATCGGCAACCCGGGTGACGTTGGCGTTGCAGAGATCCAAGACATGCGGTTCAGCGTGTCGGAGATTCTCCCGGGAGCCAAGATCGTCGAAATCAATATGGCCGGCAGCGCTCCGGGCGACGTGGGCTTGTGGAACACGATTATCACTGTCGGCGGCACAGCCGAAACGAGCGTCTCTACCAAGTGCACGAACCAGGACACCTCCCAGTGCATGGCGGCCTACATGGTGATGCATCTGACCAAGAGCTCGTCGGCCTATATCGAGAACTTCTGGGGTTGGACAGCGGACCACAACCTGGACGGCGGGTCGGGATACACCGTCATCTCAACAGGCCGCGGAGTGCTGGTCGAGTCGACCAAGGGGACATGGCTGACGGGTACTGGCTCGGAACACCACTGGTTATATAACTACAATTTCCACAACGCGCAGAACGTCTATGCGGGTCTACTCCAGTCTGAGAGTCCGTACATGCAGGGCAGCGGCGCGACTCAGACAGCGCCGGCGCCGTGGACAGCGGACTCTGCGGTTGGTGATCCGGACTTCTCCTGGTGCGCCTCCGGCGACCAGAAGTGCCGAACCTCGCTGGCGACCAACGTCGACGGCGGCAAGGACGTGCTGCTGTACAATTCCGCGGCGTGGGCGTTCTTCAACGGTCAGTGGACCGGAAATTACGGCACTCAGTGCAGTGGAAACTGCCAGAGCAACATGATGCGGGTGAGCAACAACCCAGTGAATCTGGTGTGGTACTCGATCAGCACGCGCAAGACCAACGTGATGGTGTTGGACGGACAGTCGAATCCGACCGAGTATAACCACCCGGGAGGATGGGAGGCCATCATTCAAGCATACCGGCAGTTTGCTAGTCATTGATCTTCTGTATCTAGCGTTGGTCTGGAGTACATAATCATCTAAATGTAGTAATATTTTACTTCATCTGAGCCATGGCACGAATCGATCATCACCGCCACATCGGCGCCGATTGCCACACCTCGGCAGTCCTACTGGTTCTAAGAAAAACGAAGTAACTACAGTTACGGAGTACCCCAGGACCCAACATCATTGCCTTGTAACTAGCTTACTTGATCACTTGTAAAATTGGTGATACGCAATGCACCACGACCCAGCATACGTCATCGTCTTGGCATCAGGCAGCACAATACCTACCATTCAAGTAACACAAACAGGTCTTACAGGCTTACAGCCTTGCTTGACATGGCACAAACCTGGGCAGTCTCACTAAGCCGATGATCTATGGATCAGCCCACGTCAGAGCCATTCACATTGCTTATTCACTGCGCCCCCACACCGCTATTCCTGGCATGGCTAAACAAAGCGTACGCAGTGGATCCGTGGCTTGGTTCTGGAAAATACTTTACGATTCAGTCAATACAGCCCTGTCGTGTGCCGCGCCATTAATCAAGTACCTAAACTTGGAGACAAGACACTAGTCAGTAGTAGCCGACGATAGATTAATTATGATGTATTCAGCTTGGCCTGTATGCATTGCAAGCATTTTACATCCTCAACGTCAACGTCAACACAGAAAATGAAACTGTGTAGACCGCCCCTGACCCTGACCCTGACACAGTGGACCGAGGATGAATCATGCTGGATATTGCGATTGGCAGATCCTCATCCGATCGACCCGTGGACGTCGTCATGCCATGTTTTTGACTGGTTACGGAGGTAGACTGTGGATGGAATTGCATATTGTGATTGCACCTCCACACCGTAGTACCTGTACACAGTAGTGCATGTATGTATCGCCACGCAGTCACTGCGCCTTGTGGAGCAGACCCAGGGGCCAGTATGGAGTACCTGGTGTCTGACTCGGGATCTATTTATGGTGTATTGCGTTGGCAGTGTAACGACGCATATAAAGAAGTCGATCCCTAACCTTCGTTCATTGTCCATCTCCATCATACAG